GGATTGTTGTTGGGGGCAATATGCTGACTCTGTAAACCGCTTAGAGAGGGCTGAAAGCCCTATGAAGTGGTATATAAGTCTAATTGCTATTACTATTGCTAATTAGTTCATGACTCTCTGAGACTCCTGGCCAAGTTTTGCAGATCTCGGCCTGGCAGGTCTCCAAGCCAGATGAGGTCTGTGACTGTAAATCCTCCCTTGAAAGACTTTGCTGGATGTGAATGAGTAGAATTCACAGTCAATGAATAAAAGGAGTTTTTGTCGGGAGGAGGAGTTTGCTTCCGACTCTTGGGAAGCCTCGGTCAGAACAGTTGAGCCTGTTGTGGGAATGCAGCTCTTCCTTCTGTGTCCTTGCAGTGGGACCTGGTCTGCAACCTACAGCCCCTGAAGAGCTTGGCCCAATCCCTCTTCATGGCAGGAGTCCTGGTGGGGGCCTTCGTCCTGGGTGACCTCTCGGACAGGTAAGAGACCCCAGGTGGCTGAAGGAAATTCTGCAAGCAAAGAAAATCCAGAGAGGTTTACAAACCACAGAATTGTGCAAAGCTAGAATTCTACAAATAAAGAATGTATTTTAGGCAGTCTGAACATTGCAGCTTAGCATGTTTATCTATTTTACTAGCTGATAAATACTAGCATTGCCCGGGTATTTATTCATAGGGGGAAAATGTCCGGATGAAACGTAATTTCTAATGTTGGATTTTCCCCCTTAGCAGAGGGAGCCCCTTGTGGAGTGATATGAAGCCGTCACCATGGCAACTCCACTGCATAGAAGCCATTTTACGGCAGTACAGTAGAAGCCATTTTAAGCCACAACGGGCTGTATCTTAACAGAACACATGCCCCGAAGGATTTTAGGGGTGTCTTACCCTCACAGTGTTTGTTTCCAGAGGGTAAATCATCTGTGTACCAAGTTTGGTTGAAATTGCTTGAGGCATTCCAGAGTTATGCTTACACACACACACACACACACATACACAGGCACACACAGGCACACACAGAGCGCCTGTGAAGTGGACTGGACTGAGAGAGAGGGATGGGCCCATAGAATCATAGGTTGGAAGAAGGACTTTGGCGGTCTTCTAGTCCAACACCCACACCCCTCTGCAAGGCAAGAATCCTTTTACCCTCCCAAGGTCACCCAGCCAGTTTTTCAGGCCTAAGACTAGAACTCCCTGTCTCCCAGTGATTCTCCCAAGGTTCCCAGCTGGCTTTCATGGATAAGGTGGGGCTGGAACTCCTAATCTCCTGGTGATTGGCCCAATCATCCCCAGCCAGCTTTCATAGCGAAGGTGGGACTAGAACTCCCAGTCTCCTGGTGATTAGCCCAAAGACTCCCAGCTGGCTTTCATAGCCAAGGTGGGACTAGAACTCCCAGTCTCCTGGTGATTAGCCCAAAGTCACCCCGCTGGCCTTGAATCTAAAGCACAACTAGAACTCTCTGTCTCCCACTGTCTAGCCGGGTGCCTTAACTTCTAGACCAAACTGGCTCTCAGAAGAGGAAGCAGTTTGGCTACGCCGAGGCAAGGATGGGGTAGATTTCGAAGAGAGTTTGACACCCTCCTTTCGAATCCTACGCAAAAGCCGTCTCCTGCCCGCCCTCCCCCAAAACTTGGGATCTCACAGACATGTCCTAAGCCCGTGATGGCGAAGCTCTGGCATGTATGCCACAGGTAGCACATGGACACCCCCCTCTGCAGGCACCCGAGCCTCTTGCTGGCCAGCTGATTTTTGGGTCTCTGTTGTGCATGTGGGTGACGCATGTGCAAGCATGGAGGTTGTGCGCGCATGGGCAGGGGGAGCATGCGGGGGGGGGCACACAGTTTCGGCATGCAAGGAGAAAGCCATCACTGTCCTAAGCCTACTTGTCACCCTCTTGGCACAGATACGGACGCCGGCTGATCCTGATTTGGTCGCTGCTGATGGTGGCCGTCATGGGCACCGGGGCCGCCTTCTCCAACAGCTTCCTGATCTATTGTATCTTCCGCTTCCTGAGTGGCATCGGCATCTCCGGATTCCTGCTGAATTACATCTGTTTAAGTGAGTGCTGGGTAGGCAGGATGGGAAGATTGGGGAGGGGGGGGCACGTGGGAAAATATGGGGCGAAGTTTGGTTAGAGCTGTGGTCTGTTCTGACCTAGGCTTCCCCCAAAAGCACGAAGCAGAATCCTGGTCCCGAAAAAACCCCTTTTATTAAACAAATGTGAATTCCTCTCACTCATATTCAGCCAAGGCTTGGCACACAGTCTTTCAAAGGAGTATTTATGACCACAGACCTTATCAGGCTTGGAAAGCTGCCATGTAAACATTTCCCAAATGAGGTGCTGTGCAAGGAAAGACTCTGGGCACAGAGTCTCTGGGATTCACAGACAGATCTTCACACTCCTGAAACAAACCAACAAATTGTTTCCCGCAAAAGCCCCCTCCCCTTTCGCTCCTCTGTTATGTCCTCTGGGAGGGGCCATTCACCGTCCACCTGTGGCTTTACTCCCAACTCGACCCTGATTTCTGAGCTGTTCTTCTGGCAGCTCTGTGCATGCGGACACTGGGAACAGGCTCCAGCTGTTTTTCTGCCCCACTAATGTCCAACTCCGAAGGCAGTTGATAACTGGCATACGGCTCTGGCCTCCTCTCTGCCTCCAACGCAGAGCCCTCCTCAGAGCCTTCCCCAGCCTCCAGGACTGGCCCATGCTCCTCCCCAACCTCCTCACTGTCTGACTCTGCTGCCAGCTCTGATGGCGACTGGCGGGCCACAACAGTTGTCCTGAAACTCGGCAACTTTGCGCTGGGTGGGCTTCATCTCCCAATAATTCTCCAGCCAGCCTGCTTTAAAT